AAAAAAAGAATTACCAATTGAAAATGCTGTCGTCTTTTGAGTAAGATGTTGCATATTTTGCCTTTTCATTTTCCCCCTCGACGGTAGCGCTTAGGGCCCTCACCAAACTCTCAGTAACCATGGTAACTGTATACATACCCATGCTGGCGATGGTGCTGAATGGTAAGTGGAGAAGTCCATCTGCCGTTTCACGTATTTAGCGCTGATATACCACGTGGATTTTTTTGACTTGTTGTATTAAGTTTTCTTGATGCTACATTTTTTTCTATATATTGGTACGCCTGTAATTGAGTGTACGTTTTAAGCAAGCCTGGGAGGCACTGATTGGATTGAGGATATGACTTCGTGCACATCTTACTCAGATTGTTAACTCCATATTGTGTTAAATAATGCACCCTCTTTTTATCCTTTTGTTAGCTGTGATTTTAAAGCTTGAATGATTTTGTTAATTCTTGCAATGAAAAAGGCTCTTGTTCCAAGTGTTGAATGCTAGATGTTGCTTTTCCAATGGTACTTCTCTTCTAAAGGGTTATGTTGCACACTGCTAAAATTCGTTTGTCCCTTTTTTGACATTTTCTTTGTTTCCTTGTACCTTGTCTCTTTCCTTTCTACTCCACTGCATGTTCCTTCATATAATCTTTTTTTTTTTTCTGTTTTGAGTATTTATTGTATCAGTGTTATCATGGAATACAAGCATGCTCTTAAGTCTTAAATTATGCAGTACCTTTTAATTTGCTTTTAATGTCTTTTTATTAAAGTTTAAATGATATGATGTTGCTTTATTGAAATGATTTGTAAGTTAAAATGGTTATGAAAGTAAATGTAATTATAAATAGTATGATTTTGTTATGCACCTGTTGCCTTCTATAAATTAAATTGCATTTTATTTTCACATGACTAATAGCAGTAATAATGCATGCCTTTAATAGTGACACGGGCCCTCCCCGTAACCCTTTCTAATCCCCTCTTCTATGTGCTTAGGTAAATAATGCCACAGCACGTGTAATGACAAATAAAAAGACCGTCAACCCTTACACGAATGGTAAGTGCATGAGCCCCCTGCTCTGGGTGACTGTCCCTGCATGCCACAGCCCAGTCCTGCATCCCCTGCATTCCTGGGGCTCCGAGTCCCAAGGCACGGAGGGCTTGGGAGTGAATTCCACCCCTGCAGACTCGGCTGATTCACAGCCAGGTGGGCAGAGCACGAATCCTTCTGCCTGGAATCCCGGTGGAGTTTGTGTAGGACACTGGGCCTGGTGGCAGAGCCGTGTTCTCTGCTTTGTGCAGGGTTAATGGAGTCATGTGTGAACTGAAGGGAGGATTCAGCTTCATTTGGGGGATGGAGGGAGGGAGAATGTCTTGCCTGCTCTTGCCTGTAGAACCTTTTAGTACCAGGACACACATCTGGTTAAAGATCATTTTCCATGTCTTGCTTCCACAATTTGTTAGAAGAAGGGCAGACTGGCATCAGGTGCTGCTTCCAGCTTTTTCTTTTCCCATGGAGAAATCAGAATTTAGAAGCTATCTAAAAATAAAATTCATTCTAATACTGACCTAAGTTGGTGTAATGTTGTACATTAATGATAGAAAATTAATCCATAGTTATTTGAGGGGTTTGGAAATAATGCATCTTTTAAATGTTTCCTTTGGGCGTATTTGATCACGTGCTTGAGTGTGCCTTTACTAGTTCAGAAAATTCAAATTCAAACAAGTTCCTAACTCAGCCATGTCAAAGAATAGCACATGAACTGAAGTTAATTGCAATTATGCTTTCAGTTTTGCTAGACTATGTAGTTGTTGGTATTTGCTTTTCAATTTAATTCCATTTTTCCCATCCAGTAGAAAGCAGATGAAATATGCACATAAAGGCTTCCTGAGGTAGATTAGACCCTTTTCCATTTTTAAATAAAATGGATCATATTTTCTGTATTTGAGGTCTCATTAGTGAGGTTTTACTATAATCCAGGGCACACAATGGTGTTATTTTTTAATGAAAGGCTCATCATTTTCTCATAGCACAGTAAAAATAAAACACAGGGATGGTTTTCATGTGACGTGATAATTGAGCTAGTTAAAATGATCTGGAGAAAGGGCTGGAATTCCTCATGCTTTCTTAGAAACTGTTTTCTTCCTCATTTTGTATGTAAATGTGAAGCTTGGCACATTAGGCAGATGGGAAAATCTCCTTGGTTTTTACTGGTTTTGAAGCATGCCAGTGAATCTAGAAAGAGACACGAGGCATGACTGGATCACATGGAGATTTTGTTGCAATGCAGAGCTAAATTAACCATGTGCATATGAGACTATGAACTCTGCCTGCTATATTGTAATGATAAAAGTAGTTTTTTTCTAAAAATGATGATGCATATTTTGTATTCATATTATCCTAAGGCTACAAAAGTGTTTATGAGCAAATAACATGTTACATATCAGCAGAGCCAGTGCTGAAGGAGGGGAATGCTGGCAATGAGAGATGGGAGATTTTGAGCCATGTGGTTTTAGAGGACATTCATATCTATGCCCTGCACTGCTGGATTACTTAGGTCATACATTCTCATTTATTAGTATCCAAGACCAGGATGAGCAAAACCTGCTCTAAAATGTTTCCCACTTGAAGTGTTTTGTGTGTCATTTTCCATCCTATCTAGATTTCACCAAAAGTATGAAATACCCTGTTCAGTGCATAAATAATTAGCTTCTATTTATTGTGAACCCAGATATCCAAGGTGCTGCATGCAGAATATTCTTTTGCACACCTTTTGCCAGGTATCCACCAAGCAAACTTCTGATTTCAGTCCATAGCTTTTGATTATTTTAATCTGTTTTACCTCTTTTTTTTTTTTTTTTTTTTTTAAATGCCTGAAGTCCCCTAAAGTAAACACACAAGGACAACCACGTCCCTCTTGCATAATCATCACAAGCAACAAGGAGTGAAGTGCAGACGTGTAAGGGGCTTCATTTAGTTTCATCAGTGCTTATGCTATCAGTCATCCTGGCATGGTACGAGTCTAGTTCTTTATCATTTTGTCAGGAATTAACCACTGCTGAGCTGATTATTTATTGAAGATTATTGTTGTCTAAAGTAAAGGTCTCATGTTTTAAATAAACTGTAAGGCCAGTTTGTTTTCCACCAGTACGTTAACATTTGCAAGACTCTTCTGATGCAGCCAGAAACATTTTGTTTGCACATGCCTTTTTGTTTGCTTCAGAACCACTTATTTTTTAATGCCTCTCTTTATCTTTCAAAGTGTGTGTTGTGACTGGCATGTTGTTGGCAGGTATTCAAAAGGTAGTTGGGGCACATGTTGTATTCTATCAAAACGTCAGGAACTGCTATTTATTTTAATTTAAAAACAAGATACACTCTGTTTTGTGTTCCGTTCCTGAATACAGCTGGTTGTTTGATAACAGGGCTCATGTTGTTAATAGGATTGCAGAAGTCAGTAGATTTCAAGGTACTAAAACTTGATTTAAAAAAAAAAAAATAAAAATATAGCTTTGTTCAAATAGGTGATGTGCTTTTGTGTCCTAAATGGTCTTTGAAATAAGTATGCTTTCCAGTGACTTTTGACTCCCCAAATAAGCAGTTGCTGGGAGAGCTTTTCTCATGGGTTTGTTCAGTCAGGATGATTTTGATGGCTCACCTTGTGCTTTGGAGGTACAACTGCTTTCTTTTTGCAAAGAAATTCAGTGTCGGGAGTGCTACATATTGGCAAAAATATATGAGACATTTTTAGATGTTCCAAACTATCCTGTTCACAGCTGTACTTTCTTCTGATGCCCATACTGCAATTCAGGATGCTCATCCAAGGGTTGTAGGGTACAGAGAATTATGGGCAAGTACACTCAGAGAACTGCAGCAATAAAGGAGGAACATGAAACAGAGATCTGTAAAAGGATAAATATATTTTAAAGTTTATGCTAGTGGTGCTTTGGATTTGAGCCTTCTGTTGCTCTAAATTTGGATTCCAAGTCACATCTAATGCCTATTAGCACAGTTAAATCCTCTCCCACTGCCTGTCCCCCCTCCCCGGGTAACAAACAGGAGGGAAGGAAATGGAGTCACAGGATTCTTTCCTACCCAAGCCCTTCTCTGGCCATGGTGGCCTCTCTGGTCTATGAGGCAAAAATAATCCTCTCTGTGTTGCTGTGCCCCATTTTCTACCCCAGCTTGTTACCCCAGGATCATTTCCTTCCCCTCAGCACACTGGACGTGCTTCTCTGGATGACTGGGGAGCTGGGTCAGGCAGAAGGCTTTTTCTCTCCTTGGCCGGTTTTTAAGTTTCAAGCTTTTACAGCTTCAACTCAAGAAGGAGATTAATATTGTGACAGTAAGAAAAATGCACAAAATTACACCCACAGCCGAGAATTTGCCTCCTCCAGCTGCTGCAGAAGGGTTACTTGGCAGCTGCTCACTCAGATACATCAACTCCCATCACACTTGATTAACCCACACAGCTATGGGCCAGCACATTGTTGGCTGACAAGATAAAGTTAAGTTTAATTACTGTTATTTTCACAATGAATGAAGTATTTCCTCCATAGGCTTCAAAAAGTTAGATGAGACAGCCGTCACTGGGAGAGTGGTAAGGAGCTGAAATATGAGACTGCCTTTCAGCTGTGAAGAACAATCTGTGTCTTCCAAGATTATTTTTTTTCTTTCTCTCAGACAAACTGTGGCACCGTTAGTGTAACTTAGAAGCTGAGAGATGTCTGTCAGCTGCTTTGACAGCAAAAGCTGACAGATCTAAAATTTTGTCCAATCTTTCATTTTGGGTGGTGTTGATTAGTGGTCTTCTGAGGAAGTATTGAATTTGAAATATTGGATATTCCCTTACATATATAAAGTTAGATTTTCCCCAAAGTCTCAAAATTTGAATTTTCTGTCACACAAAATTTAGCTAAGAGATATGTTATAGTCTGACGTTCCTAAATATAATTCTGTGGAATGTAAAATTGAAGGATCAGGTAAAACTCTTGTGATATTTTCGGGAGGAAAAAACCTTTTAGCCCTTCTTGGCTGGGCATTTTCCAGCTTCCCTGACTGTCTTGGGTAGATAGAGCAGCTGCAGTCACTTCTGCAGAAAAGGTGTCATGCAAAGCTGCTTTCTTGGAACTTAGTTGAGTAAAAACCACCCCTCCCCTCTCTTACTGAGCAGTTAATTACTGGGAAATAATTACTGTGCATGAGATAGAGGTAGCTTGAAAGCGTAGGAATAGTTTGTTTGTTATTGAGATTTTGCATTGTGCTTTTTCAGTCTTATAATGCCTTGATGTTTTCTGATTTTCCACTGTGCTTTTGCATTACATTCTATGGCCAAGGCAGAAATAAACCTAGTGTGCATTTAAATTCTAATCATGGCTTTTGTGATTTTGAAAAGCCTTGTTGTCAGTGTCTGGATTGTATTTTGATTCCAGAAGCAGTTATAAGTTCTATTTTAAGTACCATAGCTCTGGAGTTTACAACATGTTTTTGCTCACGTTTTTTTTTCTTTATTCCCATTTACAAAAAGTGCTTCCCACTCCTCTGATTCGAGTGTGCTTTAGGAAAACCCCTAATATTTCAATTCCAGTAATTCAAAATAATTGTTCACTTAAGGAAAAAGAGAGTGTGGGTGGGGGGGGATGTTCTGTGGAGTTTGCAGTTAACTGGAAATGGATCTACCTGTGGCTGAGCAAACCACAGTAATTAGCACTGCACATCCCCGAGAACACTAATGACTTTGCAGCCCTTTCTCTTGCTCTTCTCTTGCTCCTTCCCCTCCAGCCTGGTTATCTTTAACATCTCCCATGCTTTGCACACCCCCCATGTCTGCAGCCAGCCTGGGAATGCTGCATCAGGTGTAAAGTGTAGGCAATCATTTGGAGTTTGGCCAGAACACAGGTACAGAATATCTGTGAGTTCTGTGCTTGGTTCTGTGGCAGTGTTGAGAGGACAGTGATTATTTAAGGGCAAGGCAGTGGCTGATTTGTGCCCTTGGAGACCTGGCATTCGACTGGACCCTATGGAGCATCTCCTTCTTGTCACAACAGACATTTCCATGCTGTGGCTGTGCTTTCTTTTTGCCAGGGTAGAATCGAAATGCTCCAATTATTTGATTGCCCTGTAACCCTTGCTAGCAAAGGCTTATCAGAAATGTGTGTGCCCAGAGAATGAATGAACTGTCCTGGCTCCTCTCCTCATAACCAGAGAGCCAAAACAATGGCTAAGAACTCACCTGCCCTGTGCTAGAGGCCATGGGGAAACCTGAGCTAGTGCTGAGTTCATTCCAGAGCTCAAGGGAGGATATCCTTGTGCATTTCAGCCAGGGTCCTTCCCCATGGCGTGTACTCCAGTGCCACATGTCTGGAGAATGCCTCGTTTCATGGCTTATTTCCATACCTCAGACTCTGATATTGATCATTGATCAAAGATACCTATGGCACTTGAATTACAATGACCTTTCTTGAAGTAATTTTGTCTGTATTTTTTATACAATAGTTGTTATAGTAATAAGTTGTTATTATCACTAATTGCAGTATTAACTTTTATGTTTTTGTTTGCTACAGGCTGGAAATTAAATCCAGTTGTTGGTGCAGTTTATAGTCCAGAGTTCTATGCAGGTAAGGATTGCTCTATGATTGTCCCACTGGCCACATTTCATTTTAATATTCTTTATAACATACAAAAGTACAGAATCTGTGTTTGGTGTGAAGTTTGCCTTCTTGGTGGGATTCACATTATTTATAAGTCATTTATACATTTGTGATTCAAGATTTTACCTTACCTGGGCGTAATAAACTTTATATAGAAGATATATGAATGCCTTTTTACTGAATATAGATAGTATAACATGAAATGTACTGCAATATCCTAGTCTTACATGAGATTTTATTTTATTTCATATTTTAGTGCAGTCACTTTCTTCCATTCTTTAGTAAGGAACAACAGCCAAAAAATCTTATCTATATCTATATAGTGCATACATGAATGTAGACATACATAGGCATAGAGTATATGCAATCATAAGTTTTTCCTGAGCATTTCTCTTTACATTTTCTAGTTAGTTTTTCATTTTGATGTTTTTGTATTTTAAATCTATATTTTCACTGGGCTGAGACCAGATTCTGCTTCTGGTTGCAGCTTGGAGTTGGAGATTCAGTTTTTGTCTGCTGGAAGTCAGTCATGGCTAGAAGCAGTTTCTACACATGCTTGAGGAACAGAATTGAAAATAAACTTATTTTCAGTCTGAAACCCAGTTGATTCCAGAGGAATTTGAATGCTGCCCACAAATAGCCATCAGGAAAGCATTTTTCTTGGATGGTAGTTAAGCATGGGAAGAGATTGTCTGCAGAAGCTGGGCAATCTCCACTCATGGAGATACTCAAGTCTACAGTTGACAAAGCTGAACAACTTCTGTTAATTTGAGGGTCTTCAAGAGATGAAAGTTGTTGAAAAGGACACTCTTACAAACACACGTTTGTGGTTAAAAAACAGCTTCTATTGAGATAGATAAAAATCTAGTTAGGGCATAAGTGGCACAGTATAATAAAAATACTGACTTGGCATTCATGGAATTGCAGTATTTGGTGCAGGGAGAATTTATTTCCTTGCTGATGTATGTCTATGTTGGAAACAGGAATTTAACATTGATCTCGTTTGAGTAGTTAGTGAACCAACCCTGAACCTGCATAAATTAGAAAGTTAGAGTTATTAGTCATTTTATATAAATGACTTTGTGTTAATGACAAATATAATAATATTCCCATAGTACAGTAATCAATTTTCTAATACGTATGCAGAATTAACAATCTGACTTATAATTGTCTCATGAAGTAGGGCATGAAGAGTTCACATAGTTTGTAAATTAAAATCAATATTTTCAATCTCTCCTGAAGGTAATTTTCCTAATTTACTGGACTTTTCCCTAACATTTATTTTGTCTTTTAATTATAAAATGGCAGGTTATTGATTTTTTTGTATAACCTCCTAAAGTCCCAAGTGCATTTTTATTGCCAACACTAGGGAGGTGTTTGCCCTTCTTAATGAGAATCTTTAATTACCATTAGAAGAGTATTAATTTAATTTCATGAATTATGACACGAACTCCACCACACCTTTGCAGAAAGTTCCATCAAGATACTTCATTTATTTCAGATTTTTTTTTTTCTGTATATACATGCAGGCCAGTTTATGTTTGGGTTTTGTTGGGTTTTTTAATGCATTTCAAATTAATTTATTGAGTAAAATACAATCTCTCTCACATTTAAACATAAAAATTTCTTTTAAACAATTTAGTTAAAATTGTGCAGATCTCCTAAAGTCGTTAGGAAATGAAAGAGTAAAACAACATTGCAATTCTTGCATGTCAGAACAGAACACTGGTGACTTACCTTTACTTTTAGTAAGTAAAAACCCTCCACCACCTTCCTAAGAAGCAATTGAATTTTTGAAGATTATAAAATTAGAGATGCAATTTTTAAGACAGTCAGAGTCCTCCTTGTTTAGTTTACTTATTGTCTCCAGCACTGTCATGATAAAACTGTACCAACTTTTTCACAGTCAGTGTGAGAAGTTCCTTCAGCTCCTAACAAATGATGAAAAATTTGGCCACTTCTGAAATAAAGATGATACATTTACAGAGAAACTGTTGATTTAAAGTACCTTTAATCTTCATAAATAAGTGGAAAACAGAAGGTTATACAAAGCTGTCAGGATGGCACTGATGAATGGCAAATTCCCCCGCTCCTCAATTGCCGGCGGCGCCGCAGCCGCGAGGCTTCCCCGTATTGTACATCAAATCTGCCAGCTCATTTCTGTGATTAAATATTCCATCAGTGCAGGCTAGAAGGCGGTAAAGCTTAACAAGATTCATAAGATGCACCACTTGAATACACATAACTCACTTCCTTGGATGGAGAGCACCCCGCATGCACAGGAAAATTAGAATTGAGTTAAATTACTCCCTAAGACAAGATCAATAGAGAAAGGAGAAGATCCCCTAATGCAATGCAAATCTAAGATATAGTTATGTCCTGACAACTTGAAGCAGACAATTAAAGTCAAATAGGGAGGAACGCAATGTAAATCAACCCTAAAACCTTGAAGATAATGGTAAACAGTTGGACCAGTGACATGATTGTTATAGCTCGGGGTTTTTTTGGAGTGTACACTCCTGTGAAGAAAAGCCTTTATGGAGAAATCGTGTGACAGCTGAAAATGGAGACTCAGAGATGCACAACAGACACTGTGGTGGGAAAGTATTACTTGGGGACTGAAAAATACTGTATATTTACAAAACACTATGGATTTTTCTTCCTGGGTAGCCCTTCTAAGGCTGTTTTTGTGCTGCAGTAAATTACACTACTCTGGCAACGTGGCTCTTTAGCCATGGTGGCATTGGTGTGGATTTCCAGGGCTGTGTTTGGGAGATTGGAGACTCCTGTTGCACTTCCAGGGTCTAGCAAGGCTCCCTGGTGGCCACCAATTCCTGCCCTTCCCACCCTTCTGCTGAGAAGTCACTGAAATGTTATTTTAGAGAAAAAGAAGGGATTTTTTTTTCCATATATCATTCCAGATTTTCACAGAATTGCACTTTTCCATATATGATCATGGATAGGAAATTTTTAAAGAGATGATTTATGTCCACACAGTCTTCCTCTATCAAATAAAAGCATACTATTTAAGGGGGTTTTCCTCTTATGAGAAAGGAATGCTTAATGAAGCTGTGTTATCCATTTCTTTATTAAATTCTTAGGCAGGTCCTAATGAGGAAATTTGTAAGAAGCACTCTGTGATTTGTTTCACAAAGTCTTCATGGAAGCTGAGATAATTTTTTCATCTATTTGTATTTCCATCCAGTTTTGAATACATCCCATAGTTTTCCTGTGTTTAAGCTAGAGTCTGTTCTTTTCCCCAAACACTCATTTATGGCTGGGAAAATACAGATTTGTAGCTGGATTTCTTTACTAGGTATTCTCTGGTACTTTCTTTGTTTCTGTGGTTTGTTATAATATCATTTTCACCTGCTTATTTTTATATAGTGTATATTTTATCTGTAATACCAAGCCTTTTTTTCTGCCTCAGGCAGTCTGACAGCCAAGTTCCATGTTATTCCTTTCAGTTATTGCAGATATTTTTGTTTCTCTCTTTTGGGTTTTGGAACAATGAATTTTTGAGCAATCTCTTGCGCTCTTCTTATTGAAATATAGGATATTGTTGCACCTGTGTTACTGTAACAGATCAGTCCTGTACAGCAGGTAGCTTGAGACACAGTAAAGCCATTTTAAAAGGTTTTTTTTTATTCCTGGCAGAAAACAGTTTTGTTGGAGAGGCTCATTTTTGGCAGTTCCCAAATGCAAGGTGGGGGAAAAGATGTTACTTGGAAATTACCTGGAAATCTAGTGAATACTCTTTCAGAGAACAGTGGAATTCACAGTAACATGAGAAAATATTCTTGTCTGGTCATAACCAACAAACAATATTTCAGACATTTCAAAATGTAAGTAGACAGTGGAGAAAGAAAGGACTGAAGATTAGAAGTGAAGAACCATTAGAGCAAGTCACTGAGCACAGCTCAGTGGAACGCAGAAGATTCCATCCTCCTTTGACTTCAACCACTATTATTTTTCCTGAGTTAATTGTTAAGTTCTAGGAGTTTCAGGAGATAGTTTCAAATCATCCCACATAGTTGAGTAGTTGTATTCACTTCACAAATAACCTTAACCCAGTGAAGACTATTGTGAGCACACAGTTTCTTGGGCAGTTATTCCATGTTCACTGGCAAAATTTTCCCCATCCTCAAAATGAAAGAGAGGGAAAGAGTCTGTGCATTTTTAACTATTTATAAGCCCTCAGAAGACACAGAAGTTTTAGATGCCCGGGGCTTTTTGGCATTTGAAAGCCAGCGGTATCCACGAACAACCAGATTTTGTAACAAATTTCCTTTCAAACCTGTGTTCAGAAGTTTGGAATAGAATGCTGTATGTAATTAGAAGCAAAGAGCTACCATAGCAATATATATAAAGCCATGCCCTTAAGTAAGATGAATCCAGGGGAAAGAGAGGATTCCTGTACACTTGCTAATACTAATTCTCTTTGTTCATGTCTTAAAGCATCTATTTCTGGAGTGTAAGAGCACCTGGGATTCATTTCATCTTTCTAGTGTTTCTCTTTGAATTTAAATGAGTCTTGCATAAGCTCAACAAATACCCTAGAAACACTTCTCAGTGTTTGGAGTTTGGGAAGCTGAATTATATGCTTGCACAGCATTCTAATCTTGGGGTAAAAGTTCACTCTATCTTATCTCTAAAGCAGAATTTTTCTAAAAGCTGTCTGTCCCTCCATAGTTTAACTCATTTTACCATTTGATTACATACACTTGGATTCAAACTTTGCTATTGACTAAGCAGATTTTCCTAAATAAATGTATTTGCAGGAGTGTTAGCTAAGCAGCTTAAATAGTTTTCTAACTACAGTCAAATAATTATTGTTTAATATTCCACCTGTGTTATGTAGATGCTTCTTTTCAAAGTATAGCACACAGCTATAAGTGTTGGTTCAAAAATCGTAATGTTAAAAGTACCATCATACAAATGAGGAGTTCCTAGGTAGATTAACACCA